TGAAATGAATTATGAAGTTATGCGCTATGGCTGATGTTAACTGAGTGAGGTGGAATGTTCTTTATCCCAAATGTATCTAGATAAAAATTGGCCTACTGGGTTACAAATATTTCCAGACAGGCTTAGCTAATTCCCCCACATAACCAGTTAGCAGAAAGGTCAACAAGACACATAGACAATGTTCAGCTAGGAAAGAATGACATAATGGCCTCCAGTGTCAAAGGACCTTTATACTTCAGAGAAAAGTAGGTGAAACAAAAGAGATTGGCCACTATGACCAGAATTATGTTGCAGCTTTGAACTCTCATAACTGTTGTTACATAAACAGTTTTGGTTTTCAGAGGTTGTGCAAGGGCGATGTTCTATTTAAGGTTGCACAAACCCTGTTACCTCAAATGGTTGCTCTGTCTAGGAGCTACTCTAAATGTGGCCCTTAATGGTGGATGGGGAATTGGGTCAACTGGGCAAGGGGAGAGTAGTACTGCTCATCGTGCAGTTGATTGCACAGAGGTTTTATTTGATAACTTCAGTTAACCTATATTGACATAATATTATGCTGTGCAACCCGTGAACAGACTCTTAGCTCAGATTAACAGGAGATAATTAATTGGAAAATATGTTGATTCAAGAGCAGGGCCACTTTGTTGTTCTCAAAGTGCTTTTATGTAGCATACTCCATTATGTTTCACTCTGGTCTGTTTCATCCCTCCTTCCTGGTTTGTCTTTTCCATTTTAAATGCCAGTCAGCATTATATGGTTGTTGAACATGCTCAGTCTTATTGGGCGGTTTCACCTCTATCTATCTATCTATCTAGCTAGCTAGCTAGCTAGCTAGCTATCTATCTATCTATCTATCTATCTATCTATCTATCTATCTTATCTATCTATCTTTGGATTTCAGCAAAATCAGTATTTGAGTCTGTTGATAACTCCCATATATATGTATGTGAAGATGTGCCATTTATCTCGACACAAGTGATGGCGCTCATGCTTGAATTTTGGACATGGGTAGGAGAAATACTATAGTATGGAATGGTCCTGTTGACCGTTTCAGCCAGCCAGTCATGCTTCTTTCCCCCTTTCCAACCATCAGTCATTTTTCATGGCTTCTTGTCTTGTTCTTTCCCCATTGGGCTGTTCTTGTTTGCCCAACATACCAACTAAGGTTCTCCAAAAAGGATTTTTCATTTTCTCCAACTTCTGGGTACATCACAAGCCTGTGGATATCTCCCTCTTTTATATGGATAATACCATTCTATCTACATAGGAGCCATGACTTAAAGGACAGAGGTTACTATTAGTAGGTATGTATGATGATGAATCAGTTCAAATCATATTTGATCCATTACATGGTGGATGAACAATATAGTATGATGCTCTTTTAATGTAAGGTCCCCTTTCTAAAGGTGACTAAGAGCACATTGCAGAACAAGTTAAATGTGTTAAAGTGTGTTGGATATTCTTAGCTCGCATGTTGTAATGTTTGTATTTGTAACTAATTTTGCCCTCTATATACCTGAGACTTAGCTACTTTTCCATTCCACCTGAAGAAGTTTAACTTGCAAGCTGTGTAACTTGAAAGCTCCCAGCGTCCTAGACCAAGGGAAGTCTTGTGACTGCTCTCATGCCTTTCAAAGGTACTGTGAGACTAGGTAAAATAAGGTTTAATGAGCACTATATTTAATATATGTAATTCAATCTCATGCTCTTGTTGTTAGCAGCAAAAACAGACATTTACTTAACATTTGTTCCAAAATAGTCTAAAACAAAAGTTGAGCACAATGTCTGAATTTCTCATGTTTTCTTCCAGCTGCTTGGCATTCAATATACAGAGTGTATCAAAAAATGGACCCAATTTGAAATTACTATTTCTCTCTAACCATAAACCACTCATGAATGAAATTCTTACCACTTGAAAGGGTGGGGCATAGAGTTTCAAATATTACCACTAGATGCCTCTCCCAGCACACAAACAGTCTCTAGCCTCAGTTATTTGCAGGACTGAGACCCAGCAACATAAGGTCTAATGAGATATTCTCAATTTGCATTTATTTTATAGATTTGTTTCTCGCTCAAAATGGTTACTAAAACTTGATACGTCAATAACCCATTTGCAATGTTTCGTGTAACTGTAACATGTTGCCATCATGAAATATACTGCTTTGAAATTGCATCCATCATTTCAAAACACTCTGTATTAACTGCAACTGGGGACAGTAATATTTAAATAAAACCGGTGCTTCTCAGGCTATTTCATGTTGGGGACTGACACTCCCTCCCCAATGTGTAATGATACCATATTTAGCTCATCAGATATTACTCATTTTTCTTCCCCCCCCCCCCCTGGAAACCAGCCAATTTTTCATGGATTGGCACTGGTCCACTTTGAATGGTGCTGCATACAGAGACTATTTGCCAAGAAGTTGGATATGCCATAATATAGTTGTGTATTTTTGTCCATTTTTGTAGAGCTTTATCTGTTCATTTATTAACCTTTAAATTAAATTAAATTTATTAACCTTTAAAGATCAAATTGCCTTGCCACATTTTTCATAATTTGTAAGAAAGATAAATCTGGGAGAGAATGAATCAATACAATTAAAAATAAAGCCTATTGCTAAGTGGTACCCTTTGACTCACACAAAGTTTCAGAACTGCATGAACATACAAATCTGGCTCTACAACATCTCTACCAATATCTAATATAGACAATTTCCCATTGAATATTTGATTATACATGCATTGTACACATGATCTGTATGTAAATTCCAGTCTCATTTGAGGCCTATATTTTAATTAATGGAGGACCTGAACCATGTGAACTACTCCAGGAATGCTTGCCATCGTGTTCCCATTGCTACTTGTTTTGAAAGCAGAGAAATTAATAGACTTAGTTGATGCCATAGCTGCCTGAGATTTCCCCCCCTCAACTAGCACTCCAAGGAGTAACAATTGTTTTACTCTTTGTCACAACTTGGAGATAGCTTAAGTTTTAAACCAAAAGTGCTTTACCATCAGGCTCAGAAACATCAAAATAAACCAAATTGGTAAGGTGATGTGTGGCTGTGTAAGAAAAACATCATGTATGCTTGTCCACTATGCCCTGTCTCATGTACAGAGGAAGAATTGTTGGAGGCTATAGACAAAGCTATTGCTGTTGCCTGTTTTTGGTCAAAAGATATTTAGCTGCCTGCGCTCCTTCTATTCTTATGAGTTTATACTAATTTATGCAATGCTTTTGATACAAAATAAAAATAAAAACTTGAAGATCAATTTGGTGGCTATTCAAAACCAGGATGCTCAGAGCAGTGTGTGCTAAAACATTTACAGACCCACAGATCACTGAAATAGACCTTTTAGGCACATTGTTATTGTTAGAGGTGACTAAGGAAAGAAAAGGAATTGCCATACACCTGTATGCTTGAGACCTGTCAATGAAAGAAATACAGTCTCGGATGCAGCAAATAATTACAATCTTTCCTAAATCCTGACAGTTGAAGAGGCCTAGAGAGACTAGCTTACTGACAGGCACCTATTGCTGGGTAATGAGTTCCCATGTGAAGTTCCAGATAAAGTAGATCTATTATTCCAATTTATTTCAGACTTCTAGGATTCCTTCTGCAGCTGAAGGTCCAATTAGAGTATTCCTTTCCTATCTTTTTCATATCAAGAATCCTTTCTAAAAGCATCATCCTAAAAGCTTTCTTAAAGGATAACAGAGACCTTGCTGTGATTGTGGCAGGAGTAGGCAATCGAGGGAAGGTGGAATTAGCCCCTATGGGATCTGGTAGACCTCCCCTGCTGCATGCCCCAGGACCATGAATTTTCCTCCATTTTTCTAGAGAGCATAGGAGCTATCTCTGGCATATAGTTAATAATAATAATAATAATAATAATAATAAGAAGAAGAAGAAGAAGAAGAAGGCAATCCCAGGTGACAGCAGGATTGAAGAGAAACAACTGGAAAAGCTGACACGATATGAGGATTTAAAGATCAAATTGCAAAGACTCTGGCACAAGCCAGTCAAAGTGGTCCCAGTGGTGAGCGGCACACTGGGTGTAGTGCCTAAAGACTTTGGCCTGTACTTAAACACAATTGGTGTTGGCAAAATTACCATCTGCCAGCTGCAAAAGGCCACCTTACTGGGATTTGCATGCATTATTTGCCAATACATCACACAGTCCTAGACACTTGGGAAGTGTCCAATGTGTGATCTAATGCAACAGCCAACAGAATGATCTTGTCTGCTGTGGACTTATCTTGTTGTGTTTTAAATAATAATAACTTTATTCTTATATCCCACCACCATCTCTCTGAAGGGACTTGGGGCAGCTTACAGATGGCACAAAGTGCCTAAAAGGAGACATAAAAGTGAACACAATATAAAATACAATAAAATAAGACACAAGCACATATCAAAACATCAATTCAGACTCAATCAAGCTGCAATCCTCTAACTGTGGTGGTAGATTACTGGAACCTTCCTGTTTGCTTTAAGATGAGTATACACTAAAAAATTTTTTTATCTACTTGGTTTACCTAGTGAGCACATGCATACTGGCAAGGCCAACCTTGGTGCTTGTGGTCCATACTGTCCCCATCCCTGGATAATATCATTTCATGGAAAAGAGTTGTCTTGGGACATGTAACCTGTGGACTCATGTTTTAAAACCAAGTTTCAGATTTACTGTGGTAGTCGTGCTTATTTTCTTTTTAACCCTAATGGAAATAGTATGCGTTAATCTATTTTTACTTGTATCTTGCCACCCCCAAATCTCCATGAAAACAACTTCTGCCATAATTCAGCGGAAATGGGGCATCCCTAGCTCTGGTAACTAAGCAACAAGAATTACCAAGGCAACCAGTCAGGCTCAGGTGGATGAAAACTGGGAGGTAAGAGGAAATGAGTGGTGAGGTGAATTCAAATTCAAGAGCTATTGTAAAATGGTATTCATTAAGCTAAATGGAGAGATCCCTAGAGAGAGGAAGAAAATAGGTGCCACAAACCTTTGTTGTTTTTCTTAGTACCTTCTTTCCACCCATGTCGTAGAACAAGAGTCCTACAGCTATCTCTCTCTCTTTGGGAACTGGTAAGTAAGCTCGGGATTTAAAAAAAGATTGTTCTTATTTTGTTGGATGGAGTCCATAATTTTGTGAAAAATAACCTGTAGGTGTTTTCCAGGGAGGACACATGTCTGAACAGACAAGCAAGCATGCCAAAAAATGATTTGCTTTTGAAACACAATGCTTCTGTGGCTTAGTTCTCTAATATGGCTTGAAATTTTCCACCCTTAATTTATATCGACACTTACCAATAAGGCACAGCCTTTCATTTGAGCAGAAGACCTGAGATTGTGCTTGTACAGAAGAGAGAACCTGCTTTTTAAACAAATAGCCTACCATATAACATGCATCTACCAATTTGAAATTATTATTTCTCTGTAACCATAAACCACTCATGAATGACCCATGCTTTTGTACTGACCTTCCCAAGTGTATGTTTTTCTAACCTCCCCCCCCCCTATTTTGTTATATTTTGTTCCACTTTCCTCCAAAGAGCTCAGAGTGGTGTTTATGGATCTTCCCCTTCCCGTTTTAACTCACTATATTTTAAAAGACCCATTTTCGATCATGCCAAAGACATATCTAGGCTAATATTCTGTTCCCACAGTAGGTAGTCCCATTGGCCTTGGCAGCCCACCAGCAAAAGTTGAGTACAATGACATCTTCCATCTTGTGTTCGTCATCAACTCATAGAGGTGCACTGCCTCTGATACCAAGGTGCCATAAAGCCATTCTACTTAGAAGTTATCTATTGTTCCATCTCCATAAATGTATTCAACCAGTCTTTGTTCACACTATCCTAAATCATTAGGTTACCAGTAACTTGTCTACCTCGCTACTTAGCTCCCACCTCATCACATTGTACTCAACTCCAGATTGCTTATGAATAAGCTAAAACACACTGGATTCAGTAAAGTTCTCTGAAGGACCCCAATAGCTGCACTGTGAGAATGGACAATTTCTCTGTTTTCTGTTCTTTAGCCAGTTTTCAATCCATAAGACATTTTCTCCTCTTATTCCATGATTGCTAAGGTAGCTGGGGAGTTATGGGATCCTTTGGTAAATGTCAGATCCTTTGAAAGGCCAAGATAACTACTAGAGGATCACTTCTGTTTATTGACATTTTCAAAGAAGTCTAAAAGGTTAGTGAGACAAAACTTACCTTTGCAGAAGCCATGTTGACTCTCTTTCAGCAGGGTTTGCCTTTCTGTATGGTTGATAATTTTACCCTTTATAACACTTTCCACCAATTTACCTGTAAGGTCGATCAGGCTGAGAGAGAATGGCGCAAAGTAATCCAATGAACTTCACAGCTCAATGGGGACTGGCACTGGCATATCACCAGTCTAACAGTTTAACCACCACAGCTATCAAAATGAGTTTTTGCAATGGCAAATGAACAATATCCAAATAATAGAAGACAGGATTGCAATTAGTCAGTATTTTCTGTTTGTGTACTTCCAGAGACACCCAAGTAAACACCTTCTGGTCAAATGAAATTTAGTATAATGCCAAGTTTCTACTTTGTTTGTGGTTTTTCTATACATTATATCTGTATTCTCAATTTGCTTCTGGCATGATAAATAATAAATAAATTTGTGTACAATAACAAAGATAGACATTTAGAATCTCCCTTTCCATTTTCATAAAGGAACCATGTGGATTAGAAGACTCTACATGATCCCAACCTAGCAGCGTCCTGAGGTTAAAAAGCCTGCAATAACCTTGACCATTGGGGCTGATGAGAAAAGAAATCCAGAACACATTTTAGTAAGAGCTTTGAACTTTCCCCTTTCCATCACTTTGATGTTCATGTTTACATTTCACTGCAGATTCTTCAGGAAAGAGGTTAGAACCTTTTGGTATAATTCATCAGTCAAGGACTGAGAACTGGTACACAGTAGGATTTTATAGTAGCTTCCCCAAAATCATCAACACACCCATATTAAATTCAGAAGTAAAACTTCTGGACTATTCAGCAAGTAATTATGTTATCGTTCTATCTCTATGCTTCTACACACAAAAGATGGCTTTGTTCAGTCCACCTGTGGAGGATGCCAGAAAACCTTTTCTTCTACCATTAACCAGTGTGTAATTAAGTATTTCTATAATGACATTCTGCAGTACAGTGATCTGCATATGGGGAAACCTAAAACAGCAGCATATCCATAATTCAAAATAAGTAACTGGGTCTCTTTCACATGACAGCAATACTATTATGATTCCATTGTAACTGTCTTGGCAACATTCTATAGAATTTTGAGATTTGCCCTTTAAGGATGGCTGTTTAAAATTCTCAGGCAGAGACCTATAGTGCTTAAGCTGCAAATCCAAGGATTGCATAGGATACAGCCAGGGAAGTTAAGGTGGAATCATAGTGCCACCTTATCTCATGAATTGGCTAAGAACTATGAGCTTTCGGAAAGTGAAATTCTTCTAAGAGGAAAGAATATGTAACCACCACTTCTTTATACTGTCCTCTAGCAACCAGGAATAATGAAACTGGCTTCTGAAATGAGAATGGTCTCCTTTCTCATTTCAGCAGTCAATATAGTATATATAGGTATTGAACAGTACTCTTTTGTAAATACTGCTATTAAAACTATTGCATCCCAAGTGCACAGCTACAGACTGTAAGAGGTTAGCATTTCCATACTTGGAAGTATACATTTTACAGTGGGTCAGAACAGAAATGGTGATTTTGTAAAGAATCTCCATGACTACTTTTCAAGGAAATAACAAGTGTTAGTCTGTCTTCTAGAATGGTCTTGTTCTGCTAGAGTACTTAAAATGCATTTATTAATAGGAGAAAATTGATTTATTTTTATTTTTTTTGCAGAAATAAACCAACACTGATTTCTGTGGAACATATTTGCAAATGGCATGCTCAGGAAGTGCAGGATAGTCTTAATATTTCTTTTAAAATTATGTATTGACTTCTCCTTACACATTTGAATGAAGGCTCTGGTCTGCCACTCTAACCACTATCCCAGGGCCAAGGAACAGGTAGATGTCCACATGATCTTTAATGGTAACATCCATCAGCCATAATCAGCATAACTAATGGCAATGGATGCTGGGAGCTACTGTTCAACATCTGATGAATGATGTTTCCTATCCTTGAACTCTACCATTCTGTTATCAAATCTAGGGATACTATTCCCTCAAATAGATTATTCTTCCTTTACTTTTGACTTTTTTGTCCTTACTGATGTTATGTTCTTTAATTTTTCTGTTATCTCCAGTAGTCATAATTAGCAGTGAGAGCAAATAAAGAAAGAAGCATCTAAAAGTAAGAGAATTAACAGCATTGGAACAAAGCTTACAGGAGATGACAAAGTTTCACAAAGCCATTAGTATTTTTTATTGTTGTTCGAAACATATTGAGTTTTCACATCATTGCTACATTATAAAAATATCCATGAATTCCCTTTCTAACACTGACCACATGGAATCAATTCTTAATTATTACTTTATTCTTGATCATTGAATGTGAACCCAGGAAACATGAACTCTCATTGAAGGAAAGATGACTGTAGCTATTGTACTTTGGGCATCATGATGTGACTCACTGGAAAAGATGATAGTGCTTGGTATTGTGGAAGGCAGTAACAGAACAAAACTGTGCTAGATGTGGATTGCTTCAGTCATGTCCCTGAGTTTTCAAGATCTCAGCAGGGCAGGTGTTGACCTGAGGCTCTCTCATTCATAAGGTTGCCATAAATCAAAATTGATTGGATGGCAAATAATAATATTTCTGTAGGATGTCTCACTATTTTGGGTTTACATTAAACCTGTGCACTTGTATGTGCAAGATACTGCTGCACTTACCTTTTACATAGGCATATACCATTGTGGTTATATGCACATTGTTTACCCCAGACTGGAATCTACAGTAAATTTGAGTAACATACATATCAGACAGCATCAACATATCCAAATTTCACTATTGTGCATGGTTTGAGAATTTCTAGTATACAGGCATTGTTTCCTGTTTTCTCAGGTTGGGGGCTTGTTTTTGCTTTTTGGCATTTGTCTTTCAGGTTTTACTTTTTCCAATCTCTGGATATAACCATGTTTGGGATACAGTTAACCTATACCTATCTATAAGGAAACTGCATGCATATCTGTGGTGGGTGTATTTAGTTTTAATGTTTGTAGGATCTCACTTCACTGTTAACCAGTTGGGAATGTTGTCCTGTCCATCTGCTAAGGTTAACAAAAGTCTCTTTGTTAGTCTGAATACTTTTTATTCTGAAATTCATTGTCATTATAATGACTGGTTCTTACTTCCGTTTCTTGGTTGAGTTAAGATGTTCATAGGTGAATAGAATACATGCAGAGTGTTTCTATATATAGGTCACTGACCTAAATGTATTCTTCTATCTTTATTAATTACCCCCTTTAATAGTTATCCTGCCATAAACCGAGAGCTCTCAGGGTGAAATCTCAGGCAGTAAAACTATATCACATAATGAAAAAGACAATATGAGACAGTTTTAAATGTCATAATCAATCTAAAGGAGTCAACAACCCAGTAAGTCAAATCATGGTCACTGGATCCCAAACATTTCAATGAAGAGCCAAGTTTAATTTGGCACCAAAATAAAGTACCAATCAAGCCTCTGAGGAGAAAACATTGTTCAGTTTGGGGGGTGGGGAGCGCAATGGAGAAGGATCTGAAATTATGGTGACGTGAATCTTCCCTATCTACTATATTCTTGAACAAATTGCTTCCTGGCTTCATTAAAAATGGGATCATGAAATAAATCAGCAATATTCTAACTCATCATTTGTTTTTATACGCAGATATAATCCTATGTGTCATGCCAGCCATGTGACCTATGGACAACGCTGGCTCTTCGGCTTAGAAATGGAGATGAACACCACACCCCAGAGTCGGACACGAATGGATTTAGTGTCAGGGGAAAACCTTTACCTTTAACCTTACAGATTAAAATACTCCAAATTTTAAACTTTTGCATATTTTGATATGATCAGAGCATATGTCTTTCTACTCATAATATGGACAGATATTGGAAGGATACTGAAAAATCAGATTTAATATTTCTAGTTACTTTTATTGTGAACTTGAAGAAGCACCTAAAGGTGTTCTGAATAAAATAAATTATACCAAGGAGAAAGAATATCAAATAAAACTAACCATCAAGTAACCATTTCATAATTATTGATCCAGGCATACAGTTTAGTAAAGTGCTTCATGTGTGCATTAGAACACCACACAATGAGCCAGTTGCAGTGGTTTACAGGGAAGTGACAGCCAAATCACAGCAGCAATCTATGAGTAACGCCAGCTTTTGCTACTACTTGTTAGTATTGAAATCACTACTTCAAAACTGACATGACTTATTGGATAGAAATAGGTGATACAGTAAATATACCAGGTCCAGGCCTTTCATTTTCTATTCCACATGAGCATTAACATTTTATGATGAAATAATCTTCCCTACCATCCCTCTCTGTATGTATATGCAGTTGATCATGTAGGTTATATAACAACAAACCTCCCTTTCCTGCACTTGTGCTCTCCTATTCCTGTTATTTCTTTTCTTGCATTGGTTATGGATAAGTATTGTGTTTAAAGATTATTTCTTTAGCACAGCATGCATGCTTCAGATGGGAGAACACCCGTGAGCCCTTTGGGAAAACACACAGCTCAAATCTCACTTATCAGATATTTGTTAGGGAAGAAGTGGGAGACCTAATCATGCTGTGACTTTTTTGAAGCAGAGAGAAAAGGCTATTCATTATTCAGCTAAGAATATGCTAAGTGTTTGCATCAATCATAAGAATTAGTTTGGTCCTTGAAGTGACAATTCAGAAAACAGACTGATTTGGCTTACACTGATTTGGAGGGTTTCTAGTTCATTTCCTCCTCCAAATCATCATGCCTCCCATGGATAATTCATGAAAGTCAACAACAAGCTCAGGCATAGGAAATTAATCTAATCTAGCATTCTGCTTTTCACACGGACATCATGTTGCTCCCTAAGGGTGGACATGAAGGTAGTCTCATTACAACAGCTTGCATTGAAGGACATGGTGTCTCTTGAGCCTGAAGTTTCTATAAAACCATACAGTACCACTGGCTGAACTGCTGGCCTGAAGGTCGGTGGTTCAAATCCGTGAGATGAGGTGAGCTCCCGTCTGTCAGCTCCAGGTACCCAGCCAGGGACAAGACAGAAGCCTCTCATGTGATAGTAACATATCTGGGCATCCCCTGGGCAATGTCTCTGCAGATGGCCAATTCTTTCACACCAGAAACAACGTACAGTTTCTCAAGTCACTTCAGACATGATTTTAAAAAAACACTAATAACAGTAGTATCTTTAACTGTGGTACTTTCTGGACTAAAATTTCATGTCTTCTTTGAAACACTGCAATAAGAATTTGCTTCAATTTTTCTGAGAGAGATTAATATAAATTTAATTTTCATTCCATGTGGGGGCAAGAGAAACACTCTCAGTTCCATATCTTTATTAGCTGGATATGTATCTATGTAACATTAAAGGTAATGAAAGCTCACATAGAGTAAGACCAAATCCAATTAAAGATACCTTAAAATTTAGTAACTTAATCTGCTCTTTTTGGGCTATTAAAGATCTAGATTCAATTACTAGTCACAATTAGAGAAGATCTATTTAAATAAGTGGGATTTATGTAAGCAGCGGCTTACCATTTAGTAACTGATTCACTTGGAATTGGCAAATGAATTAGGTCTGAGTTTAAACAAATTTATGCCCCCTGGCATTGAATTTTTCTCCCCTCAAGCTTCAAAGATACATATTTTCCCCAGAAAGCTGATTAATTCTTGTGCCGCAGCTAAAATAAATCTTTCAGAATCCATCTTGGTTAATTCTTTGGCAGATTGGGGAATAATTTTTATGCTTATCATGTTTTGAAGAATTATCAAGTCAGTTAGCACTGTACTTAGTGGGAAGATTAAGTATGTTCTTAACTCTCCCACTGATATCAACATTTCAGATGGATTACAAAAAAATAAAATAAAAATAGAGTAATGGTGGGGAATATATTTTATCATCACGTTCCTGGTGGAGTCCAACGTTCATGTTGGGCTGACACATCCTGAAAATACACACTTTTGCTTTTTTTTAACTCTTTCTGCCACTTGTTTCCCCTCTTTCATGCTCTTCCTCTTTACCTATAAGCCGATGTGCAGAAAGCTGTCATCCAGTTGAGATCTCTCACTGTCGAAGGAAGCTGGGGTTCAGACATATCCGTCCATGTTCTACATTTTAGGAGTTTTTGTTTGTTTCTAATCAACACTCAGAACTCAGTTTCAACCAGGAAGGAAATTCCATAGTTCCACTTATTTCAGTTAGTCTAACATACATTAAGTATATTTAGGAGCTGGAGTAGTTTTAAATGACATAATACAGTCTGAGGAAAATCTTCTCAGTAGCAATCCCAATACAACAGATGGCTGTATCAGGCATATAGGTTTGAACGTTTCTGTGGTTGTTTCACATGTTTTAATAACCTTCCTTCTTACAATAAAGATATTCTGACAACCATCAATCCACTTCTCTATTAATACTCTTCTCAGATTCACATTGAACTTATATGCCTCTCTCTTGAATATGGCCATCATGCTTTTATTAGATGTTCTTAACTATTTTACACTTTTGTTTCCTCCCATTTGCCATCCCTCCATAGTCCACACTGCACATGCTTGATAAACAATTCAATTGTGTCCTTATCAGCAAAGTACAATGTGAAAACTTATTATATTTAGGTTAAGATGTTAAATAAGTAGTACGCAATGTGCAGTGAGAAAGCTATTTAATAAATGTGTTATTAACGTTCAAGCATAGACAAAGATCAGACACTAAAATGAAGTTATTTTACAGACTCTAGAAATCTAGTACCATCAATTATATATTTTACAGCACTGTGATTTATACACCTGTAGTACAGAAACAGAAGGTAAGATTATCCTAGTCACAATAAAAATTCGAAGAAGAAAAAGATCACAGTACATACATTTTCTTCGGACTCACCATAAACACACTGAAAGACACTTTTAAGTGTGAAAAATAGCAGTGATCTCCTCAAATGTTTTGCATGCAAAACATGTCATATTTAACAGTGCAGCCTGCCTTTGGATAATTTAATCTCAGTGTATCAAACTATGCCTGTGGTGAACACTTTGTGATTAAATCAAGATGTCTTTAATTTCCCATTTCATCAAAACAAGAAAACTATGGCAACAAGCTTCAGAATCTTAAAGTCAATTCAAACCATGGTATGAAGTTGGTAATAATCATAGATGTACAGGTACTTTCTGGTTTATTCATTTTCCAAAGAAAGGAGAAAAGGGGCAGCCAAAGATTTTTCTTTTTATTCTTCTGCTGAATAGGAAGATATGGTCTTTCAAATGTCACCTGCATTATTCAGAAATGTTTCATTTCTATTGAGAGCGATTCAGAACACTTACATAGAAATAACATTGCTGCCTGAACCACTGCGCTACCGCTTGATTTGTGATTGAAACAGTACTTTAGAATGTGAAGTTTATGGCTAGTCTTCTGCTGGTGTCTTATGTTAGTTGCTGCACATTTTCCAGGGTTGCACACTGTGATGGTGAGGAAATGACCTAACCTCCCAGCTCTGTGCAATTTATGACTCTGGCATAATACGTCCTCCTTTGTGACTGCTGTACCCATTACAGGTTTCCTTCTCCTGACGCTGCTGCCATAGTGCACCAAGAGGACTGCCCATTAGTTTCCTTTATTAGCTATGTCAATTAACCTTTTCCAAATGTCTTGCTTTGTATGTGTTTGTTTTCTTTGTCCCCTCCATCAATCCTCAGGCAGAGAATATGTAGAAGCAGCAATATCTCTGCTGAAAGACATTGAAAGTTTGAAAATTTTTTGCTAATTTTATAGTAATGTGTGGCTTGTGAGCTGTAATATTAAAACTGCAATGGGTTCACTTGTTCAAAGCTGGCATTTCATTGAAGTCTGTCTTTTTAGAGCTCAGCAGAGCCTACATGATTCCAGTGATAAATACAAAATGTACCTTCCATTCCTTCCAGGGAAAAAGTGCTAAAGAAAATTATTTTTAAAAGCTCTAACTTGAGCACGACTTCTCCACACTAGTACTTGTAATTCTTTGCTCTCTGTAATTCTCCTACTCCCATTTTTCTTGTGTCTAACTTGAGCACGACTTCTCCACACCAGTACTTGTAACTTTTTACTCTTTGTAATTCTCCTACTCCCATTTTTCTTGTGTCTGACACTTTAAATCCCCATATTAAAACACATCAATCAGTTGAGCTACAGCCTTAGTAACCACAAGGTTGGAAATTGATTTATCAAGTGAAGAAATTCAACAGCTAACCTAAGTATTGGATTCTATAGCCCACATTCTCTTTGAAAGCTTTATAATACTATCCCAGGTACATTTATGCAGAAGTAAGCCCCTCTTTCTTCCATGTACCTTACAAGGAAAGGGTCCACAGGCTATAGACTTATACACAAGGCAAGATCCGTTTAACAGTTTTATTTACAAGTGGAAACAGAACTGAGTAATTGACCTGCTATTACTTTCTGTGTGGAAACAGATTGCATATGAAGCCAAGAATAAATGAACAAATGATTTGGACAGAAAAACAAATGTGTTCTGTCCTATCTTGACAGCACACAGAGGAAGAAAAATGGAGAATAATGTGAAACTGTAGGAACCAGTTTTTGCTGAGGGCAAAACAATAGCGAGTGAGAACTCAGGAATACGATGCAGTCACACCTTGCTTGGGTTGTCAATAGGCATGCATTTTTGGTCCATCGCAGGCTCCCAACTGTCTTGAGACGTCTCCTAATACATTTGACTAACCCTATGTGAAATGTATTTCTAAGAAATGAGTCCAGATTGTGTTCATTAATATGTAATTTGAAAGGCTATACCAACAGCTGCATCAATGCA